ATCTTTTGATTTGCGCCATTTTCTCTCTGCTGCCCTGAGTTTGGTCCGATGCTCACGAAGAACATCGGATAATCAGGGGTTCGAGGGGGCAGCCCGTGCTGGCCTGGAGGAGAGAGGATAAATATCATCTAGACAAGAGGTTAATGTAGAGCATAAAGTGTCAGTTGCTGCATTTACATCCAGAGATGAGAAATGGGTGGGTGAGGGAAGAGAGGAGGATACTACAGAGGAAAGATGGGAGGGTGAAAGGGAGCGTAGGTTTCGTCTAAAAGTAACCGGTATAGGGGTTGGTGGCACACAAGTAGCAAAATGTAGTTTAAATGTAATGAAGAAATGGTCAGAGGTATGTAGGGGTTCTACCAAAATGTTGTCTGCAATACAATTGCGTGTGTAAATTAAGTCAAGTTGGTTGCCTGATTTGTGTGTGCTTGTAGTGGTAAGGCGTTTGAGATCAAATGAAGCAAGGAGTGAATGGAAGTCTGTAGCATAAGGCTTGTCCAGATGAATGTTGAAGTCGCCAAAGACTAAAAGTGGACTGCCATCCTCCGGGAATGAGGACAGCAGCCCATCCAGCTCCTCTAGGAAGGTGCTTAGAATTATGTGGTAAATTACCACAACCTGGAGTTTTATAGGAGCTGTTACAGTAATCTCATGAGATTCAAATGAGTTATAATTGCATAGGGAGAGTGGGTTGAGTATTTCCAATTGTTAGAAATGAGCAGACCAGTGCCCCCACCCCGGCCAACCTGACGGGGGGTGTGAGAGAAAGAGAAATTGTTAGATAGAGCAGCTGGGGTTGCTGAGTCTTCTGGACGAATCCAGGTCTCAGTCAAGCCCAAGATGCTGAGTGTGGTTTGTAAAGAAAAAGCAGAAATGAAGTCAGCTGTGTTGACAGCTGACTAACAATTCCAGAGACCCACAGAGAAAGAAAGAGGTGCAGTAGAAGATGTAGAGATAGGATGCAGGTTATCAAGATTACGTTGCCGTCTGCGTGTTATGTTAGAGCGTTGTTGAGAGACGACCGGAAGGTTTTGGAAACACATGATAGAGGTGGAAAAGAGAGGACAGAAAAGGAGAGTGTGTAAAGGGAAGTCAAAAATAATACTTAAGTGCGTTGCCGGTTTCGTTGCTCGGTAAAGTCGCAGGTCTTTACACTCATCAGTCTTCACCCGAGGAGGCTGAACACGAGGGCTGAATGCTTCCGCTGACGCTTCCGAGTCAGTGCACAGACATCAAAGAAATACACAGTCTAAGAGACTACAGTGAAAACGGCTGTGGCCGCCTTCTAATTAGCACAGCCAATAGCGTATCACAGGGCAATTGCTCAAATCGAAACTACAGTTCACACTTAAGTGCAGGAAGAGAGCAATGCCAGTAACACAGGCTCCTTCTTAGCCGACAGCAATTATTATAATTACCAGTAAGTGCAATCAAAAATACAAACTACAACGAAAATACAAAGTAGAAATAGGTAGACAACGAAATATTCCTTCCTAGCAGCAAGTAATAATTTAAACAACATATCTCCAAACAAAGTATTAAGCGAAACACTCACGCACTGCCGTCCGTCTCTTCTGTTGACTAATCACTTTACTAGATTAAAGCAGACTTTACTAGATTTTAGTAGACTTTACTAGATTGGTCTAGTAAAGTCTGTTGATTTTAGCAATCTTTGTTCATTATATGGTGGTGGTGACCATTCATAAAGCACCTTTTCAATTTTTTTTCTCCAATGTTTGCATGCCTGTACCTCAAGTAGTATTTAAGATGTCTTAATGACCTATTAGATTTTTTCCTTTTGGCATCTTCATTTTTAAGGCCTATTTGGTTCAGTTTCAGAGATATTGCAATCTCAATATGGCTCCAAGAAGAGTAAATTGTTAAATTGTACACACGTTCAGGGGTCAAAAAACAAATGTTGAAACTAGAAATACCGTTGAAACTCAAGAGAACTTCTTGAGTTATAGGCATGCAAACTTTGGAGAAAAAACTTTTAACAAAATAAAAAATTTGAGACGGAATGACTCGTATGATATAACAGCTTAATCATTTTGCTCATAAGATTTCTAAGAGAGGACATTTATATCATATTATATCTAATATCTGGACTGATGCATGTTCCATTAACACTATAAATACAGCAGCCACAACGCACATTGTGAAATAGGCAGCCTGGCATGAGTGTTGTCTGTTACATTAGTCACAGCTATGTGATTATTTCTCTTTGTGACATGGTTTCTTGGCTGAAGTAGCATAAGGCTGGTCCTCTGGGAGATTAGTCAGTGGCTAAAACTGTAGAAAAGAGCACTGATGTTTATCCTGCTGGCTATTTCATGTACTGCATTTTATTTAGTCTCACTCACTATGCAAATACATTATTTGGATTCATAACAGACATCTGCAAAGTTTATTCTGAGCTTTGCATCACAGTCACACTTGCTGTTCGGTCATGTGTTTTGTCCCACACACATTCACTGGCTCACCGATCATTCAGCCTGTGTTTGTCCCAGTGCCTGATTTTGTGTGTATGTGTGTGTGTGTTGTTTGCTCACAGAACGGCAGAACCCCTCTGCATTTGGCTGCCTATAAGGGCCACATTGCCGTTGTAAGGATTCTTCTGGCAGCTGGGTGTGAACTGGATATTCAGGATGATGTGAGTATAACATGTTTGCAATATTTTCACTTTTGAGCAAAAAGCACATAGATCTGCTCACAATCATTGAGAACATTGGTGTTCACACTAAGTCTGAATTTTTTCTCATATTTTTCTTTTTGTTTGGTTAGTCACATTTTCCTTTAAATGTGGCCAGTATCAAATATGACTCTTCACACAGTCCTCAAAAGAACGATAACAAAGACGGTACGCTGTTATACAGAAGTAAATATACAGGCCACTTAAGTCAGTGTTTACACATTCATTTGTAAGATGATGTGCCGTGGACGCCAGTGAATTTGCGCACAGGCAATCAGGAGGACGAGAATGAGGGGAAAGAGAGCAAAACTGTTAAATATTTACGTTACGACCCTCATGTTTTGCTTGTATAGAGCTGTCACCGTAATACTTATGAGTTCAACACCTCACTGTCCCTTCACTGACTACCTAATTCTGATTTGACTGTTCAGACTGAGGTTGCACTGCAAAACATCAGAGCTGTATCTCATTTAGGACCACATATGAAAGTGGCACAAATCAGAATGAAAAAGATCAGACTCCATGTGGTTTGTGCTGTTCAAACGGAGTCACATATGTGAGCCTGGAGCACAAAAGCAGTCTCAAGTCGCTGGGGTATATTTGTAGCAATAGCCAAAAATACATTGTATGGGTCAAAATTATCGATTTTTCTTTTATGCCAAAAATCATTAGGATATTAAGTAAAGATCATGTTCCATTAAGATATTTTGTAAATTTCCTACCATAAATATATCAAAACTTGATTTTTGATTAGTAATATGCATTGCGAAGAACTTCATTTGAACAACTTTAAAGGCCATTTTCTCAATATTTCGATTTTTTTGCACCCTCAGATTCCAGATTTTCAAATAGTTGTATCTCGTCCAAATATTGTCCTATAAAGAAGGCAACACTTTAGTAAAGGGACCAATTCTCACTATTAACTAGTTGCTTATTAGCATGCCTATTATTCAAATATTGACTGTTTATTAGTACTTATAATGACCATATTCTACATCCCTAATCCTACTCAATACCTAAACTTAGCAACTACCTTACTAACAATTAATAAGATGCAAATTAGTATCTTACTGAGGCAAAAGTCATAGTTAATAGTGAGAATTGGACCTTAAATAAAGTGTGACCAGAAAAATAGGATTTGAGCCAACTAAAGTGTCAGAAATGTCTGTGTACATATAAAGAAATAATTCACCAAAAAAAGTCAGTTTAGTCACCGAATTACTCGCCCGCATGTCCTTCCAATCCCATATGACTTTATTCTATGGAACACAAAAGGAGTAGTTTTGAAGTAACTCAAGACAAGGCATAAAACAACCATAACTCATGCGTTATATGTCAAGTCAGAAGACAAATGAGGAACAGACCACAGCACAGGTCTTTTGAAACTGATACTTTTGGTATTTTGTTGTTCACCTTGTGTCTCGACCTTTAGGGCAGGTGATATTCCACAATACAAACTCAAACGTGTTTCCATAAACCTTGTCTGTGTTGGGCAACCATGCCATTTTTGTTATTTATTTTTTGTTTGTTGATTTTACAGATGCCAGCATAGTCTTTTAGTGCTCTACAGTAAATTGAAAACAGAGAAATGTTGATCTTAAACAGTGATTCCTGCACTGCTGTTCTGAATCTAGTGCATCATGTTATAACAGCATCATTTTTTTTTCCAACTTGAAATGGACCAAAATCATAAATCTGTAGGAAAGACTGGTTATTGTTTTATAATAGGAAATTTGAGCTCCCTTTGCACAAAGGCAAAGGAGCCAGTGAGAGTAACACACCTCCCTCTTAAAGTGCTGTAATACTTACTTCATAAGCAACACACTGTGCAGCCAGAATCACCACAGACTGACTGATGTTTGGGTTATATATTTTTTTTTTGATATTTGATATTCTGATTTTTTTTTTTTTTGCTATCAGGGTGACCAGACGGCGTTACACAGAGCGACTGTGGTGGGAAACGCTGATGTTATTTCAGCTCTAATTCAGGAAGGATGTGCACTAGATAGACAAGACAAGGTAAATATCTCTCATTCACTTCTGCTAGAATAAGAGTTATTATTGCAGGAATTGCAATGATCTGTTTACAGAGGCTTTCACTGCTGATATGTAAATATGTTAAGGATAATGTACAATCATCTGGTTGTTACTGGAAAGTAAATTCTGATAGGACGATGACTTGAAGTGTACTGTACATTATTATTACACAGCTACTTGCCGAATAAATAAATAAATGGACATTAAATACTGATTTAAGTGAAAAAGTGTGGAGTAAAATGAGAGACCAGAACTATGAAGGAAATCAGTTGCCTTTAACAATTATACAATCAATCATACAGTTAAGCACCTTATTTATATATAAACATTTTTCTTTAATGTATGAGGAAAGTAATAAGTATATCAATAACTATAAACCAAATTGATCCAAAACCAAAATTTCATTTAAAAAAATGTTACCCTTTTAAATTAAAATAAAAATGAAATTTGTGTATAAAAATAATGAACAGCCATTGTTTTTTTAATGTTTCCTTTATCTATAGCATTTGACATTACAAACGCAAAGGAGAGCTGTGTTACAGCGGTTATATTTCATATGTTTTTCTCAGGATGGGAACACGGCGTTACATGAGGCTGCGTGGCACGGCTTCAGTCAGTCTGTCAAACTGCTGGTGAAGGCCGGAGCCAACGTTCACGCTAAAAACAAGGTAAAAGCCACTGCCAAAAACAACCTCAACATAAAATGATTTGCATGCTTGGCTGATTTTAATACAACTGCAAATATGTGCAAATACACAAATAATGCACACATAATGTTGTTTGGAGGCACTTTTGGCTTATGAACTTTACATAATTCATCTCATGCAGCTTTGTTTTGTTGCAGTGGAGCACATGCAACTCCTTCAGTCCGGACTAGAATACAGCACAGCCTCAAGTGCCTAGCTATAATAAAGTAATCAGTGCATCATTCAAAAATAAATAATGTCAGTGTGATTATTGTTTTATTAATTCATGAAGCGGCATCCTTCCATCAAAAGTTCTAGCCCTCATATGCAAACTCAATACTTGGTCTTCATGGGTGCTGTGCAGTCAACAGGTGTTTTACAGCTGTATTGACCAATCAGCATTCAGGAGTGCATCTGGATCTTTTGTGCAATGTGGAATAATTCTGTGAACGTTCTAGTTGAGCATAGAGCAGGAGATCAGCTCATGTAATCTCTCTCAGGCAGGAAACACGGCTCTTCATCTGGCGTGTCAGAACGGTCATGCTCAAAGCTCCAAAGTCCTGCTGCTGGGCGGCTCTCGTCCCGACAGTAAGAACAGCGTAAGTACCATCAAACTCTTCTTTCTGTCTATTTGATTCATACAGTCAAACCAAAAATTATTCAGAGACCAGATAGAATTTTTGATATTTTTTTACTAGTGGGTGCAGGACACTATAGTTCATTTATGTAAGTGAGGATAGCAAAATAAAGTAAACTGTGACATAACCAAAAATTCTTCATACAGAGGACGACCAGTAAAACTGATACAAATTTGGGACCGAAAATTATTCAGACACTTTGACCTGACCATGTTTTGCTTAAAGGGGTGGTTGACTGGTTTTGTTCTAGGCTTGATTGTGTTTATGGGGTGCAGTCTAACATGCTTCGTTTTTTTAAAAAATGCATTATTTTTCACATAATTTACCTTTATTCTTCACCACTCTGTCCCTTCTCTGATAAACGCGCTGATGATTTCCTGCTTGTATGAAGCCCCTCCCTCAGAAATAGGTGATGGGCTCTGATTGGTTAGCTAGCCCAGTGTGTTGTGATTGGCTAAACTGCCTAGTGCGCGTCTAACCGTCCCGCCCCTCACCTCAGCGGCATGTGCTCCGGTTGTATTGTAAACAAAGGTGTTGTTAACTAGTTTTCTCTTCCTCTTCTCTAAAGCAGCGCAGCATGGCATCGCCCCCTTTGCTGCCTTTTCCCGAGGGCGGGGTTTATCTGGGTTTGTGATGTCACGAACCCGGGAAGTAACTTGTTGTAGTCCCTACCAGCCGTTTTTGTAGGCATTAAACTGCCAGAATTTTAAAAGACGATATCTCTGTTTGCATTGAACTTTCAGCTTCGTAACTTTGCAGATATTGTTTATGCTCAAACAGCAACAAACATACACACAAACTAATGTTAAAAAAGTGAAATCACAATCAACCACCCCTTTAAGTGTTTTTCTTTAATTGCCATTTGAACTTTTTACACCACAGTCTGAACAAAATTAAGCATTGCTTGGTAATTGGTTGACCTAAATTGGTATTATCTAATTGTGTACTTAAATTTAACAGCTGACAGCTATTCAACCGAATTCATTTTATAAAGCGGAGAGTTCCGGTCCTTGATTCTGATTGGCTGAGCCGCGTTCGAAGCTGTTGTAAATTACTCTACAAACACACACCTTTGTTTACTTCTGTGTGTTGCTCGCCAACCACTTTGTTGCAACCACAACTGTTTCTGAGGAGCTACATTGTTTGGTGGAAGAATACTGTTTTTATTTATATCATTACACTTTATTTGCTCTGTTTTATTTTGTGAAACCTTGCTACGTATATGGAATAACCGTTTTATAAAAGCAGTAAGCCCCGTGAAGCCGTGGTTTACAGTGAATTTATAACAGCTTAAGGGGGTTTTAGGCACGACGCGACAACACCCCTTAGCTGTTATAAATTCACTGTAAACCACGGCTTCATGGGGCTTACTGCTTTAACATACCTTTCTATCAAAGTTATCTGACATTATCAAGATGAATTTGTTCTGACAGAGTTCTTGTCATGTTTTATTACCATTTTCTAAACTATAGCAAATACGCTGTGATAATGTGAGACATGTCGAAGGTGTCTGGATAAATTTTGGTTTGACTGTATGTCTCTCTCTTTTCTTTCTCTGTGTGTTTGTCATTTAAAAAAACATGAAACAAATGTGCTCTTTAAATAAAATGACGTTGACTTGTTTGTTTAGGTAGGTGACACGTGTCTGCATGTGTCTGCTCGATATAACCATGTAAGTGTGATCCGAGCGCTCCTGAGTGCCATCTGCTCAGTGACTGAAAGAAATCATGTAAGGACTTGAGATATTGTTAAAACTGTAATTATGTCCATCCTGGAGGTGTTTCTGACTCATCCCTATTTCTGAATCTCCTCCGATGTTCAGGCAGGAGACACAGCTTTACATATCGCAGCTGCTCTGAATCACAGGAAGACTGTGCTCATGTTACTGGAGGCTGGGGCCGACAGCCGCATCAACAACAACGTGAGCACCTTCAGAAATATTGCATGAGCTTAGATACACTATATTGCCAAAAATATTGAGACACCCCCTTCTAATGAACAGGTTTGACTACTTTAGTAATTTCCACGAGTACAGATCTTAATGTTTAAGCATATAATGGGAATTGTGTGCTTCTAATTGTATAGCAACAGTTTGGACAGGACCCTTTTCTATTCTAACATGACAATGCATCTGTGTAAGACAAGGTTCAAAAAGAAATGATTGATTCAGTCAGTGTGGAAGAACTTGACTGGTCTGCAGAAACCTCTGGTGTGACTTTAAATGCAGAGATTGAGCCAAAAACTCCTCACCAGACACGAGTGACTTGTACATATGGCTACAGTCATTTTAGACACTTCCAAAACTGTTGCAACAGAGATGGAAATACAGTTGTTGAATGCATGAATTATGTTTCCAGCTTTGTTGCCACAGTTTTGGAAGTGCCTGTTCTAAATAAGGGGGTGTGTCCCAATACTTTTGTCCATATAGTGTATGATGCATTGATACAGTTTCACAAAATGTCTCTGAGTTTAATTCATAATGCAACAGAACGTTGCATTCTTAGCTAAATCTTCCTGGGCAAGTTAATTCAATTGTCTGGATGTTTATAGCTGCTATTGGCATGTAGCAGAAATGACCCATTTATCTGTGTGAGTATGCACTTGACTCTTCTGTGTGTGTATGTTATTGGGTGAAGACGGGAGAGACGGCCCTCGATCAGGCTCGTGAAAATGATAATCCTGAAGTGGTGCTGCTGCTCACCAAAGCTCCACAGGTAGGAAAACACACATGCTTACGAGCCATTCACAGGAAGAGGTCCTTCATTTTTTTTTCTTTTAGATTTTTATTATATGCTTAACAACAAAAACATGTAAATTGTACCAACTGACCAAATATCAGATTTGGAACCGCACATTTGAAAATGACTCAAATCACATGCAAAAAATAAAAAATAATAAATTGATCTTAAATGTGGTGTTTCTGTCTACATACATGCAGCAAAAAAGATGTTCCAGATGAACGAAAGGGATAGTTTATGCAAATTGAAAACTGTGATCATTTACAAATTTTTGTCATTCCAAATCTGTATGACTTTCTTCTCCAGGACACCAAAGAAATAAAAAAAGGTTTGGAAATCATAAGGTTGGGTAAATGTTGACTGAATTTTCAGTTTGCATTAACTATCCCATTAACATGCGCCAAATAACATTCTTCAGCTTTAAATTTAGCTGAGTGAAGAATCAAGACAAGCAACATGTGACTTAATGTCTGTAGAGCTTCACTCGAGGACGCACTGTGAGGAAGAGGAGGGACAAGATGAAGACTGAGGGTCGAGCGCAGTCAGTCCCACGTGAGGAGATGCTGCCGAGAAAGGTAAAGGAGCAAACCTACTCTCCTTCTCTCTCTCTCTCAGACACAATCAGAACCAGATGAGCATCTGTACGAGAGGCAGATGAAGTTCAAACATGCTGTCGCTAAATGTTATGTAAGCAATGATTAATGGCAGGCGGGTTAATTATTGAACATTCATACTCCCACAGTAATATGACCCATCAGATGTGAAATAACATTTTCAATCTGATTGTACCGTAGTCACTGCGTCTATCTCAAGACACTTTTAGGCTTTCATTCTTCAAGTCTTGTGTGTAGAACTACTTCCTTTCAACATAGTTTAGTACTTTAGTAACAGCCAGTGTTACTAGTTTGAAAATGTTTATGAAGTGAATACTATACACCATAGTACAGACTTGACAAATAAAACTAGAGATTAAAAAATCATACATGATACATTATTTCAGATAATTATTAAATACAAACATGATTGTAACATGTGGTAACATATTAAGTCCAGGAAGGGAACGTTTTTGTTTTTGCCTGAACTGTGACAAATATATGGAAGCCCGTTTCCGCCACTGAAAAAGGTAATTGCGACTTTTTATCTCACAATTCTGACTTTTTTTCTCGCAATTGTGACTTTTTTTCCACAGAATTGTGAGATATAAACTCGCAATTGTGAGTTAAAGTCCAATTTTGAGGCGGGAAAAAAGACTGATATGTTCTCAGAATTGTGAGTTTATATCTCTCAATTATGACTTTTTAACTCGCAATTGTGAGTTTATATATTTCGCAGTTCTGACTTTATTTCTCACAATTGTGACTTTATGTCTCGCAATTGCGAGTTTATATCACGCAATTCTGACGTTATTTCTTAAAACGAAATTAAAATATATTAAAAAAAGTCAGAATTGTGAGATAAAAAGTCGCAATTACCTCTTTTATTTTTTATTCAGTGGCGGAAACGTGCTTCCATACAAATGTCTGAGTTGTACACATTCCTGCATTTTGTGGATTTAATAAAGCTGACAAGAAATAAAAATACTACTTGATAAAAAAAAAAAGTATGTTATAGATCTTATGAACAATTCATCCATGTATGCAATTCTTTTTTATAATTTTGTTTAACCTTATAATCTTTAATCAAAATGGTGAAAACATCAGATGTCTCACTCACATCTCAACATCGTTATTTCTTTTTCAATAAGGCATTACTCTCGGATGTACAATATGTAAGAAAACATGTGGCTAACAATAAACGAGTAGTACTCTCAGTTCTGCATAACACATTTCATCCTGCTTAAATCCACTCGCTCTATAGATTCTGCTGGTCTTTGTCAATAATGTGACTTTAGTCTTGTGTTTGTGCAGGACAGTGTATCTCCTGCGAATGACACGCATGGCAGTGACGGTTCTCTCCGCCGGAATGACACAGAGGCACGTGCAAACAGAAACAGTGAGAAGAAAGTCAAAGAGAGGGTTCGTCATGCATGTATTTTCTAGTTTAGGGAGCGAGCTGGGTATAATATGGGAATTCTATTATATGCTGAGTGCAGAGTCCTGGGTTTATATTGCAGTAGTGATAGGAATTTGCATGTGAATAAACTCCTAACAAGTCTGAGAGCTCTTATGGATTGTGTGCTGTGTGTTTTTTGCAGCTGTCGCCATCAGATGCCCTCATTCGAAGACAAAATAAACACAGTGATCAGAAGAAGAAGAGTAAAACGGAGAGTTCATCAGCTCTTCCTCTTCTTCCTCCTCCTCCTCATAACTACAAAGCGTTCCAGCTCTATACTCTCTACAGAGGCAAAGACGGCAAGATCATGCAGGCGAGGAACCCGTCTCACCTTCAGATTAAACTGATTTATTTCTCAATTAGCATTCCGTTCAAAATCAATGTCAAAGGTTAAAAATGACAGAAAAAAATTAAAAGTAATTTGATAAATAGAACCTATTAGAAACCTTTAAATGTATTATTGACTCATGTATATGTGTTATTTCCATTAAAGGCCCCATTGAATGGCTGCAGATGTGAACCTCTCATTAACAAACTGGAGAATCAGCTCGTGGCCACTAAAGAGGAGATGCAGTCAGAGATTCACACTGTACAGGAGCTCATGAACCGCAAGATGGGCCAAATGGAGCGCAAGAACAAACATCAGGTGCATACAGCCTAGACTTCACCAGGCCTGCCAGCATAAGTGTCTGAGCTTCATCTGAATATAATAATCCAGGTGTCCTCACAAAGGGTTTACCTTTTCAAGGCCGCTGGTCCAATTCACATAAAACATGCTCATCTAGGGTCCCTTTTGATTTGTCAAAACATTTCCCAGATTTGAACTAGCTAACTTTTCGGGTGTAGCCTATGTATTGACTACTCGGCCTGCTGTATATACAAAAGGGAAAATTCAACCAAAGCCAATAATCGATTTAAATTCAGCTGCCCATAATTTCAATAGCTAATAGCCAATCCTTATGCTGCTTGCACCTATCTGTTTGAACATTTAGTGAACATTTCATTAAATGGTTTTATGTACATAAGTTGTGCTGTTTTTGTTTTTTTGTGATTGACTGTTATGTGTGTTTGCTATTTCAGATCAGAGCTCTAGATAAGATCACTTTAGAGAGAGTGTCTGCTGAGAGGATTGAGTGTTTACATCGCATCGACAAGCGAGCCATACAAGAACGCTTGGAAGGAGAAAAAAGACAGGTAATATTCACCAATAAATGTTCATGCAGATAATCGTATTGGCATAAACCCTGTTTTACATGCATGAGAAACAGATTGCTTTTTTCTCTAGATGTAAAAGGAATAATATGTGACCCTGGAGCACAAAAGCAGTCTTAAGTCGCTGGGGTATATTTGTAGCAATAGCCAACAAAACATTGTATGGGTCAAAATTATTGATTTTTCTTTTATGCCAAAAATCATTAGGATATTAAGTAAAGATCATGTTCCATGAAGATATTTTGTAAATTTCCTACTGTAAATATATCAAAACTTCAGTTTTGATTAGTAATATGCATTGCTAAGAACTTCATTTTGACAACTTTAAAGGAGATTTTCTCAATATTTAGATTTTTTTGCACCCTCAGATTCCAGATTTTCAAATAGTTGTGTCTCGGCCAAATATTGTCCTATCATAACAAACCACACATCAGTGGAAGCTTATTTATTCAGCATGCATAAATCTCAATTTCAAAAAATGGACCCTTATGACTGGTTTTGTGGTCCAGGGTCACATATCTGGTTTTTAGTGGGCATGGGCTAATCTTTGGATTTCTGTAAGCAGGTGTCAGTGGTCAACGATCTCAAGAACTGGTGCCTTTCGAAGATCCAAAGTTTGGAAACGCGTCACTCTGGCGATCGCTGCAACACTAAGTTAAGGCGCTCCTCGTCCCTCACCGACACGCTTTCAGATTGTAAACCCCGTTCCCACACAGCTGTACCGGACACATCTGGTGCCGAAGCCTGCTCCTCTCCATCAACAAACCAACCAGAGGCCAAAGATGGACGAGAGGCTGTAGCAGCGAGCACGATGGCCCTTATGACTGGTTTTGTGGTCCAGGGTCACATATATGTTATGTACGGTTATTAGAAGTAAAATATACAAAACGCAACATCTTTATGCACATATGGAGGGATATAGCAGACAAAATCATTTATTTCATGAATAAGAATATTTTCATGGCATTTTTATTGTACACGTGTATATATAACAAACTGTTGCAAATGTTGAAATGAAATTTGGGCATTAACAAGTGAATAAGGAACAAAATATCGTTTAACTAGTTTAGCAGAATTAATTTAATTTAAAGTACACACACATCATACTGTGTACATTTTTTAGATTTTTGAAGGCACATTAGCTTTTTTTTCTGAGAAAACGAAAAGAAAAGAAAAAAAAACAGCAGACGGGCTTATTGAAAATGCAAATTCATCCTCTGCCACCAGAGCCGCTGAGAAACAGAATAATTCTTTATACTTTTGATGCATTCCTTTCCTTTATTTCTTAAAAATATTATAAAGGCTGAAATGTGAGGTTTGTCACTTTACAAAACTCTTTCTATTTGTGAAAACCTGTATTTGAACTGCAAATCGTGTTTTCATGTTTTTTGTAGTCATTTTATGGTTTAATATGATACCATAGACATTGCCCTACCCCGCTCATACAGTTTTATTTGTGCAGGTCTTAAAAAATCTTACATTTTATTTTAAAAATCCTGCAGATACCCTGTAAATTCTTTCTTTATACATATATATACAGTATCTCACAGAAGTGAGTACACCCCTCACATTTTTGTAAATTTTATTATATCTTTTCATGTGACAACACTGAAGAAATGACACTTTGCTACAATGTAAAGTAGTGAGTGTACAGCTTGTATAACAGTGTAAATTACATGAAAAGATATAATAAAATATTTACAAAATATAGGGGTGTACTCACTTCTGTGAGATACTGTATATATATGAATATATATTATCCATATAAGTCCATGGTATTAAGATTATTGTTACTTATCAATTGCATCTGGTGCTTGTGTCAGTGTGCATGCTGCAAACCTTCTGAAGCTGTTCTGTCTTTTCAGATAAGCAGTCAGCACAGAATCAATCTGCACCCCAGTCTCCTTGTATAGTCCGACCTAAGCAACGATCCCGGGCCTGTAGTGACCCTCACCGAGCGCAAGATGAGCCTCTGGAGCCGAGACCTGTCCCCGATCAGTGCTGCGAGCACAGGAACCTCAAAAGACGCACCCAACAAAGAGCAAAGACCAAACACAACGCTCAAACTATGACGAGTTTGACGCACACCGCCGAGGCTTCCTTCGCCCAGAAGCGGGAAAACATGCACACGCTGGAGGTTACGCAGTACTTTTTCGAGGCAGTGACTCTGCAGATGGAGCGCTGGTATGAACGCAAGATTGAAGAAGCACGCTGGCAGGCCAACCAGAGAGCCCAGGCCGACAGAGCCGCTCTGCTGGACAGAATAAGCTACCTTGAGGATGAACTCCGACTGCTGAGGACTAACAAGCAGGAGCAGAGCTAGTACAGAAGATAACACTGGTGTAGCAGACACTGTAACGTCCGGATGGATGAGTGAAGGTCAATAGAGCAGCTAACACATGAAGATAACACTGCAGCAGCAAGCGTCAGGAGAAGTAGCACCTAAACAGATTTAGAGCCGAAACATTCTCTTTGCAAGTACTTTAACCCAAACACTTCAAGCTACACAAGTTTGATTTCCTTTGCCATCACACAATTCATAATGGAGGGCAGTCGCATTCTTAGCACTGTTAGCAGAAACTGTCTGCTGAGGCTTGTTGCCGCCAGAGTAACACAAGAATGCACTTTATGTACATGCTGTCAGAGCCCTGTTCAAGAATTTGTGTGTGCGTTTGCGTGCTTACGTTGGTTACTTACTGTCACTGCCAAATATCTGTTCAAGCTTCTCTTTGATAATGCACTACAAAGCTAAGTCTGTTTTATTGTAAAAGGACAAAAACTTGACTGTATCATTTAAATGTGCATTCTTAATTAAGTATAAGGCATGAACACATTTATTCCAGTACTAGTACTCAAATTTGCTGAAAGTGTCTAAATTTTGCCACTACTTTGGAGGTTTGCCAGATCATATAAAACCAGTGAAGACTGACAAATAAAAGTAACAAAATCCATGATATAAGCAAGTATTATGTCTTTGTATATGGTCTTTATTGCACAAAATGAAATGTCTTAACCTGTGATGTTTCATTGAGGATTTTGATGTAGTTTGTAGGGAACGTATAAGAACACACGATGAAATAAGTGTTTGTAACAGATTTGCATGTGTGAATGTTTCATTAGGTAGGCAAGTCATCTAATTTAACAGTTTTTAATAATTACTTTAAAAACATTCAGAATGCATGGGCAGCAAAAAACTCGGTCCCTTTCTATGTTTTGAGGCTGGTGTTGTGTAGAGGTTAAAATCACTGAACTCTAGCTGTGATCTGGTATGAAAGGCCCACTTTTCACCATCCAATCAAACACGAATGTCATTTTATGTTAATTTTTAAAGGGGTCATATGACATTGCTAAAAAGAACATTATTTGGTGTAATGAAATGTGTTTATGCGGTTTAAGGTTCAAAAAACACATTATTTTCCACATACTCTACATTATTGTTTCTCCTCTATGCCCCGCCTTTTTGAAACGCGTCGATTTTTACAAAGCTCATCGGTCTGAAAAAGCGAGGTGTGCTCTGATTGGCCAGCTATCCAGTGCGTTGTGATTGGCCGAATACCTCAAGCGTGAGACGGAAATGTTACGCCCCTCACCATACTGTTGATGCCGTGTCCGGCCGGAGCGACGAGACAAAAACATTAAAACTCATTATAAACAAGGCATTTGTTGCATCCAGTGGGGACATAATTACGGATTATAATGACTTATACTGTCTTTTTACATTTTGCGTTGCGTATCGTGCCGCGTAAACATAAATCCATGTCTGCATTTGTGATCGGAGAAATGACAAACAACAAGCCCTACTCTACACCGATGCTGGTTATTCTTTCAGCGCTGTGAGCTTGAACAACACTTAACCTCACACTGCTCCACGAAGACTGATCTATAATGTGTAGATTGTTTTAAGTATTGTTGAAATGATCAAAATGTAAAATAATCATGGTTTCAAACTGACGTCTTTGCCAGTGACTTTTGATGTTGAACTATGAAATCAAATAGTTTTTGACTGTCTTGACAAATGTTAACAACTAATATGTAATGACCATGTTTAGTTTTTTTTATATACATGTACAAATACTAGAATAATTGTTTACAGCTGCTTCAAAGGGAACATTATTATTTACTATATCATACAGCTGTGTGATCTGTCACAAATTAATGTTTAATAAACTACATCTGTGTGATTTTGTGAAGAAGAGAAAAAAAAGAATCCATCTAGTGTCTCTGGCTGGAAACAGAATTATTTGATTTGATCAGCCATAAAGGACTGTTTTTGTCTATATATATGTGCACTTCACGTATCATCACAACAGTGAAAGTTGTATTGTTTCATATATAAACTGCTTCACTGTTGTAGTTTGATAATATATTGCATATTTAGCTGAGAGTGCACGATTAAGTCCATTACTTGCCTTTTGAGTACTTATACAAAAGAACAATGGCCAACATTTTGCAGATTTTCCATCAACAAATGCAGTTCTATACTAAGATCTCTCCGCTTGTGTGGTGATGCTTCACTGTAGGGATGCTGTGCTCTGCTTCTGGCAGACTGTAATGTCCTCGAGGCATCTCAGTTCGTCAGGTTGTTTGGGGGACATGGCCAGTTTGCACAGATTTACAGTTGTTCCACATTTTTCTGCAGGTCGTAATGATGGATTTTACAAGCACAGCTTTGAGGTGCAAGACACTTCTTATCATGCCCTGACAGGCATTTTCATGGTTTCGGATCGCTCAAGTCAAGTCAAGTGTGTTCATAGAGGTTTCCATGGGCCAATGCGAATAAATCTAGATTTAAATAAAAAAAGACACGATATTGTCGGACCTGACGTTTTATTCTTATCCAAAACAAGATGTGATATGAGTGTGATAAATAGGCTACATACATACACTACCAGTCAAAATGTTTTGAACAGTAAAAAAGATCTAAAGATCAGCATTCATATGAAATAAAAAGCTTCATACATATAACATTCAAAAGCTTGGAGTCAGTATTTTTATTTTATTTTTTATTTTATTTTAAATAGAGTCTATTTGCAGAAATAAAACATATAAATACAAACGGTGTTCTTATACTAAAAATTGCCCTGAAATGCTTTAGGCCTACATTTATTTTGGCGTTGTGTTCGCTGGTTACAAAATATTTTCTGAATGATTTTTGTACTGTATTTTGCTATTTGTATTTGTATTTTTTTTGTATAATCAACTGAAACACACCGTCTGCAATTATAGAACATTTGTATCGCTGAATAAGCAATGTGCAATGTCTGTTTTTACCACTAGATGGAAGTGTTGTATTTCACAACAGCAGAGAAATGCCAGGGCCGATTTTTTGTCCCAGTCCAGCCCTGCATTCAAGCTACCGTAAAATTTGAGTGTAACGTTCTTTCAAATCATCTGGAATGCAATGAAGTCATTTTTAAAGCTGTTTTTAAAGCATTTGCTGCATGGATTAAAAAAAAATAGGCCTGGTGATGAAAAAATGACTGGCCATCTCCTCATTGCACGTGCCTTTAGAGAGAAATGCATCTTTAAGGATTACATATAGCCTAATGAAAGAGTTTTTGTTTTCAGTTTGAATTATTTCGTTTTAAAGTAGTCATTTAAAGCTTTCTTCTATATATATATATATTTATCATATCTGTGACTCAATTCGTTGAGTTTCGGTTCATCCTTGTGAAGCCTCGTTCAAGACCGAGACGGCAAGCGCATCCTCTGTTTTCCTATTTATTTTATAAAAGCACAACGTTTGTTGATATTGTGAATGCACACATAAAAGTAGACCCTTTACATTTCCGAATGTATTACTCTTACCTTTATGAGGAAAAATTAAGGCGTATTTTAAGCTGTTTCCACGATCAAGAAAAAAATGCGAGTGAGTGCTCGCGCTGGCGCCTCCGTGTCCTGCAAAGCGCCTTCAGCTTCCACTCTCCACACAAACTATTAGATATAAGCCTAATAGCGCACATTTATATCGTTTAAACATTTAAACTAACATTGTGATATGCTTGAACTGTTTTATATCTATAGATTTTATTGTAGGCAGGTAAATTGATCAAACATAGGCTATGATAAGCTTACAGTCTGCCGCTGGCCGCTTGGTCGTTACTTTAAAAAAAACTTACATACGAACAAAAAATGCTCCAAACGTTTTTCTAAATTAACTTTATTAAAAATGAAACGCAATATAATCACTTTAACATTAGCCTACATACACTCTCGAGGAGACCCCACATAAATGACAAAAAAAAAGAAAAGAATTAGCTGAGAGGGTGTTTCTGTACAACGGCTGAGGGAGTGACCCAAATTTGACGTTAATCTGAATATTTTTCTCCTCTTTTGGAAAGTCGTGGAAATGACATATAACAAATAAAACAAACTTTTTGCGACATCTCGCGGCACGCACGGATGTACCTAAAGAAACATCTCCATTTGATAACAGATTCGTTGGTCTGTGTTAAACAACACGTGTTATGGCGAGCGCTCGTTGCTGATGTTATCAGTTCTCTCTTGGCACTCGTGCACAATGCGCAGTCTTCACACAGACCATCGTACGCTTTGTTCTGGTAAAAGCACGAAAAAAAATGCACACACACATGTCCTTGCTCTTGATATACAATCACTGATGAACACCTTTGGTTTTAATGAGAGAGAAAAAAAATCAATGCGCTGCACAATCAATCTCTTATTTACATCGTATTTATAATGAGAGGATTTGCGAGCTTGCAGAACTCAGCACTTGACAAAAACACAGCGTTTTGAGTGGTGACTGCACATTTGACGCTCTCCAGAACACAACAGTGTAGAATTTGCCACGTTTCGCCAATATCAGATGGGGCCCCCTGATTCCCCAAGGGCCTTAAGCAGCCGCTTACCTTGCTTATTTGTTAAGTCCGCCCCTGCTGCTGAGGATGCACTGTGATACAATGCTACATTTCTAAGCTGCTAAATTGAACAGGAAGAGCCCACCTGGTCTGTTGAGCCCGGTCTCATGAAAGTGCGTATAAATAGTACGCCAAATAAAAACGAAAACTCGTGGTATTGATACGCAAAAATGGACTTTGGCGTGCATATAATACACAGTTTTCGCATGCATATGATACGAAATTTGTTGGCGTGCATATAATACGCAGTTTTCGCATACATATGATACGCATCTACCCCACAACCCTAAACCTACCCATCGCGGCGTATCAATACCACGAGTTTTCGTTTTTATTTGGAGTATTATTTATACGCCCTTTCATGAGATCGGGTTGGACTGTTTCACTCGTGTTCCTCTTGAACTCTTCTCTGGCCCAATCTCTTAAATATCTGCGATCAGACTCGGTCGGTATTTTGCGGATGGTTCGGAGCAGATCTCTGTAAACCCCCAGAACCTTCTGTCTCTGCAACAACGGACCACAACACCACATGAAAACACGCTCAACTACAACATCTACATGTGGCCGTTCACACGTGCCGCATTCTCAGTTGTTGGCCTATGTATTAACGCAACAGACAAATGTCTTCATCCGCTGCGTCAAGCTTTAAAAACCCTGCGTTCAGTTGCACTGCGTTGTGCAAGTTCAGCTGTTTTTGAAGGCAAGAACGCGCCCTAACAGCATTGTTGGAATTCGTTGTAATCTACAGAGCCGTTCTGATTTTAAAGGCATTGTGGTAAGTGTTTTTACCTGTTGGAGACTCGGAGCTGCTACTTTCCTATACGCATAACAGAATATCTTTCAAGTCAACATTTATTCTTTGAATGTGTGCATACTCAGTCTACCATTTACACACAAAACTGAAGGTTTGAATGGTGTGTGTGTGTGTATATATATATATATATAGTTCCAAATGTTGCATAAAGTGAGCTATTAAAGGTGTTCAATTCTTAGCCGAGATTTTATCGTATCAGTCCATCATTGCCATAAACCAATCTTTACATACTAAAAAAAATAATAATAATAACGTGCACTGATAAATCAGCTATTATTAGCACAGCAACATTCCATTAAAATAAATGTCAATTTTGATTTCATAGCGACTTTACACATGTTATGTGTCCTGCATTTTTAAATGAGTATGCGTGTATAATAACACCAGACACTGAAGTATGTGGTTTGTGCTTAAGGCCTTTTATTTATTACCACCCCATCCTTTCTCCCATTCAAGGCAAATTTACACTCTAAGTAGCTACAGATGCTTTTCCTGGGAATAAGACCACCAGCTTAATCACGAAAAGGATTTCCTTATTACATGATGAGATGCACAGGATATTAGACTGATTTCAGAAAAATAAAATACTAAAACAATGACGCCAGGAGACCGTTCTTGCAGAAAAACAGAAGGCTTTGGTAGTGACAC